TCTTCTATTCTATACTATATTCTTCTATTCTATACTATTCTATACTACACTATTCTATTATCTTTTATTCTATACTATAATATTCTATACCATACTATTGTATTCTACACTATTTTATTCTATACTATTCTACATTTTACTATTCTATACTATTTTATTCTATACTATTCTATTCTATTATACACTATTCTATACTACACTATTCTATACTATTTTATTCTATACTATTCTACACTTTCCTATTCTATACTATTCTATTTTATCCTATTCTATTTTATTATACACTATTCTATTCTCTTCTATTTTATACTATACTATTTTATACTATTCTATACTACATTATTTTATTCTTTTCTACACTATTTATTCTATACTATTCTACACTTTACACTATACTATGCTATACTAAGCTATACTATACTATGCTATGCTATGCTATGCTATGCTATACGGTCCTGTTTCATGCCAGGCATGATGGAGGTAAAGGGGGACTATGCAGGGCTGTTTTATGCCCGCTGAAACCTAAGGCAGCTATACATTATTAAAAATATATATAAATTAAAACAGAATTCTCTAAAGTCTATTTTTACCACTATATTTTCATTAAATGAAATGCATGTTTCATGATCATGTAATTAAAGTAGACCCTCTATGACTGTTATGTTGGCTATAAGTTCTGTTGTGTCTAAACGTGATGTTGACCCAACATTTGTTTTTGAAATTTGGGCTTATAAATAAGTTTTCACACCCTCTTCAAAGCTGTTCAATGTTCTGTAAGGTTATATCGAACCTCGATACATTTCTCTATGATGTCTAAACATGTAGATGATTTTGGTGGAAAAATCCATCACATGATTTTACTTCAGTCTCAGTCTAATATTTTCTGTAGCAGCTAACAGGTTTTCTCCCAGGATGCTCACTAATTTTGTGTTTTTCTCAAATCTGACTCACTTCATCATCCCTGCTCAGGGTCATCTACCTCATTACCAATCTGTCACCATGGGGATGGTGTTTTTAGGGTGATGCCAAGAGTTAGTTTTTTATCACATACATTGATTTTCTTTTTTTTTTTTTTGTTCTCTTCATCAGAGGGAAAGTATTAAGGTCATATCTTATTAAGTTCTTCCAAAATTTCCGTATGCATGTTCAATGTTCTTTCAAATGTGTTAAACATATCCTGAGCTCCACTGCGTGCATCTCCTCCAAAGTTACCATGAGCCGGTTGACTAAATCTGATCGTAAGTTTGGTCAGTTTTAGGGCTGAAACAATTGGAATAATCGTGATAAATCAATTATTGATTACTAATACTAATTTAGTAAGCGATTAATTGTTAACCGGAGAGTAGATAATCTTAAACATGCCTTTAGCTGACAGAGCGACTCACTTAGAGCAGTAATTATATCAAAATTGTTAAAAAATGTACATAAATATTTTGCATTTAAAATTAAAAAGCTTTTTGGTCTGTCAGTCTGCTCTATCCAAAACTCCTCAAGTGGAAAATTTTCAGTTTCACCTGCTTTCATTTCTTAAACAGTATTCTTTAAGGAAACTTTTTCTATCGGATTATGAATTTATATCAGATTATAAAATTTTACAAATCGATTCATCTGTAGAATATTCTTTCAATGAATCTATTTTTAAAATAACCGTTAGTTGCAGCCCTAGTCAGTTTTTGTCTCGGTAGGTTTGCACTATTTGGAGATGAATGAAATCGTTTTAGACCTTCAAACTTTTGCATATTTTATTTTTTTTATTTTAACTGAGCTGTTCTTGAACTGGTCTGCTGCTTTAATTAGCCCCTTTTATGCCTCTTAGGCCTCAGTGAAATTTATGCATAAATGCTTATATTATATTTCACGCTTGTTTTGTGGATAAAACATGCATCCTTCCCTTATATATCCGACGTATCTCATGTTTTGGTCCATAGCATAAAATCCAGATACAATGCATTGCAGTTTGTGGTTGTAATGTGAAACCACTCCTTCCAAAGGGATGTGAATATTTTTCCAAAGCATTGTGAGAGACAAAGCACCACATGGCGTTGGACAGAATCTACGTGCAAAGGTTCAACATGAGCCCAAACAACTGGAAGGATAATGAAAGATTTTCCAAACCAATAGAGATATAAAGGAAACAGGCAGAGCTCGGTATCAGATTAACAGGGAGACTAAACAAGGAATGGTTCACATTCTTCTCCTGCCTGACATGAAAACTCCATTTATAGTTGATTGTCTGATATGATAAATCCAAAATGAGTCCAGTCTAGAAACCTTACTTAGTGAAAAGATTGAGCTGATATTTTATAACTTGGCCGGTTTTGTCCTATAAAATAAACAAGTTTAGTTTTTGTATGCAACTGGTCTCCCCTAGTGAAAATGGCCGATCTATTCAGTCTATTTCAGTTTGGTTAAAGTCGTAGGGAAATCATATTTAAATGTCAAATCATTCTGGCTTAAACATGTATATAAATGTACTTTTTATCAGACGATATTGTCCCAAAATGTTGAAAATTTCTATAAAAAATAAATAAAAAAATCCTGTCTTAAAATCTGTTTTTTTCCGTTATCTTATGCAGGCTAGTTAGTTTTACATCAGCTTGAACACCTAAATTCGGCCAATCATATATCAATGGTCATCTGTCCAATTTTTTCAGTCATAGCATCTTGATTCATATGTCGCAGCTAATATACGCAACGGTTGAAATAAGAATAATATTCTTTCCCATTGAGTTGCGTCCCAGTGTTCACGGGGATGGACGTCTGTGTCTTCAGCAGGCGTAGAGCTAACAGAACTGGCAGCGTTGCGAGGCAAGGGCTCAAACATGTACGGCTGGAAGCCTTGTGAAACTTAGTCTAAAAAAATTCAATATAGGTTCCGTCAAATAAAATTTTCGAAAAAGTACATTTGAAAAAATAATTTTGTAATAAAATCTTAAAGAAAACAGCAGTTACTCTAATTTTTTGAACTTAAAACTTCAGAGTAACTTTAAAGTACTACTTTTATTCTTTTATTTTGAAGTTTTTCAAAGTTTCATTTTTGGATTATTTTTCAGCCCCATAAAAAGCCTGTAAACTCAAATAATCAACCTGATTTCTGTCTATGGTTCACATTTGAATCGTGTGATTGTTAATTGAGACAGGCCTAATGGTGCGTCTTGTTTATGTTTTCTGGGTTTTACCTCTATTATCTTACAGGTGTTCTGGGTTTCTTATAACATGTTGGGACCTAATAGAAGCTGCTAAAACTGATCATGCTCTTCTGTTCCTGAACTTAGTATTTGCTGTTTTCCTCCTGGGTTTCAAATCATTTAATCTCCCCCTCTCTCTCCTTTTGCTTCTCTTTACTGGATGGAAACGCTCTGCTCTTCTACCTGACAATCCCATTAGGAGCTTGATGAGGTACAGTTGTTTAGAGAACCATCTTACTGCTCTGTTGTCATAAGAAACATCTTCATATAACTGTGTTTTTCCTAAGTTGGCCGACGACCGAATGGCTCTGGTCTCGGGGATCAGTCTGGATCCAGAAGCTGCTATCGGCGTCACAAAGAAGCTGCCTCCCAAATGGATAGAAGGAGTTGATGAGGTGAAGCTGCTGGATAACTGGAAATGCAGGCGTTCGGTTTGAAGTCTTTCAAAATAAAACGTTAATAATAGTTTTCCTCAACTTTCAGATCCAGTATGAAATCACAAGGATTCGGCAGAAGATGAAGGACCTGGCGTTACTTCACGACAAGCACATGAACCGTCCCACCCTGGATGACAGCACAGAGGAGGAACACGCCATCGAGATCACGACTCAGGAGATCACACAGGTTCACTCTCCCGGCTTTATATGGCGCCACTTCACAGCACGTGTCATCTCCGTATATTTAAATCACTCAGAAAATACAAATGGGATCGGATCATTTTTCCTGATCTCAGCCATGCGGCCCTACAGCAAAGGAAGAGCTAACGGCATAGTGAAGCACTGCCTCCTCGCTTTTATGCTCATTATCTTCCTCCATGATCCCTCTTCTGCGATCACCTGTGCTGCACCTGAGGGTGCTTTAGGCTGATTTATAAACTAGGTCGTCTGTGTAGGTGTTGCGCTGAATGCAGAGATGTTCCCGCCCCCCTCCAAAATTATAGGTGACCGCAGACAGTGCCACAGACATGAGGCCTCTGATTGGTCAAATCTACATCCGCTCTACGCTATACGTATTTCCTGTTTGGTACCTTACCGGCTTGTTTTGTTTGTATGACCGCCATTGCTGAAAACAACTCGTGAAGATGTCTGTGCCCCCACCACTTCGTGTCTGATGACGCCATCACGCTGGGTGAGCGTTGATGATGTCAACAGTGCGATGGAAATCAGGGAAGTAAAAAATGGAGAGGGACATGGACGGGAGACGGAGCGTGCAGTTTTCTTTATTATTTTGCTCTTTCATCTGTCTGAATCCCTCTTACCAGAGCTGCTCCATGTTTATCGAATGTAAACAAAGTCATTTCGGCTTGTTAGATCAAAAGCAACTGTAGCGTTGTATTGACGTCCGTACGTTGTGTTCAATGGTCACGTAATTTAGTGGGTCTACCTGTGTCTGGTGTTCCCACTGCCTGCCGATCAGAGCTAAGGTGATCTTATTGTTGGTCGCTTTTCAAGTCTTTTGACCCGGTTAGCTGTTTCCACTGCCACTAAAAGCCAATTGTTCCCCGGTTTAAACGGGTTTTCCAGCCAGTGGGAAAGGGGTATAACTGTGTATTGACCCCAAACACAAATGGTCCAAGCGATTTCCGTTATCCCTATATAAAGACGTGATCAGTGTCACTACCCGATCCGTCCCCGGAAGCACGATCTGTTTCTCACTTGTCCACTTATTTTAAGAAAGAAAATATTTTTTGCAGTGTTTTATGCGGTTTTTATTTAAGATTTTTACTCCAGAACTTTGTTTAAATTAAAAAATAGCAATTAATGTTCTTAATGTTGCCAATTTTGACTCTGCCTAAATGCTTTGTTAAACGGAGCGATGTGACCATCAAACTGAGGCTGAATTTCATCTGAAGGTCTAATGCAGAAATCAGATTGTTCTGGTTTCACAGATTTTATTGCTCTGTCTGTATTTGGTGTAATTGTGCAGCTCTGCAGGAGCAGACATGTTTATTGGGTCTAATGTAAGTAGAAAAAAAAAATTTTGTTGAACTTTTTAGTTTTTTCAGCTAAAGGAAAACCCCAAAGGGAGAAAAAAATAACAAAACATTTTCAAAACCCTTTCCAACTCATATTAAAACGTAAATTTAAACAGTTGTGGTTGGATTACGCATTGATTCTTGGGCTCACCATCTCATTTTCATCCCAGATGTTCCACCGATGCCAGCGCGCCGTGACGGGCCTTCAGTCTCGCCGGGGCCACTGCACCGAGCAGGAGGAGAGGCTGTTGGTGAACGTGGTGTCGTCTCTAGCGCAGAGCCTGCAGGACCTGTCCACCAACTTCAGACACACGCAGTCCAGCTATTTAAAACGTAAGATCTACTGTTTAAAGGAGTTTCTTATCCTGCTCATGCTAGATATTATCATTCAAAATTACTTTTAAATCCATTTGAAGAAGTAGGGTCCCTTTTATTCAAGTCGTGTTCATGTTTATGGCCCAGGTATGAAGAATCGGGAGGAGCGATCGAAGCACTTTTTTGACTCTGGGCCTTTAATGGAAGAGGATGAAGAATTAGCTCTGTACGACAAGGTGAGAGGCAGCCGATTGGATGTTGAATATTGAATATATAATCTAAATAAGTTATTTTTTCTTAAAACAATTGCATTGTCTTATTTCAAGTGCATATTGTCTAATTATCTTATTTTAAGAGTAAAATTCTCATTCCATTGGCAAATTATCTCATCTATCTGCTCAAATTTAGTGTAAATATGCTTAATATAAGACATTTTTACTTATTTCTCAATAGTTTTTCCAGTGCAGTGGATTGTTTTTAATTTTCTGCTTTGGAATGACTTAATATCACTAGGTAAAAAAGATGACTTGTTTACATTTTTATTTGAAAGCGCCTTATCACAACACCCAAGGACACTGTACAGGCAGATAAAAACATTAAAATGAAACTTGTCAATGAAATTAGTATTTTTACTCTTAAAATAAGACAATTATATAATATGCACTTGGAATAAGACAATAAAATTGTTTTGTTCTTATTTTAAATCCAAACTGTCTCATTCTGGCAAAGTGTCTCACTTTCCTCCTCAATTCAAGAAAAATTCAGAATTTTAAGAAAAACTGACTTTAGATTTTAATTTTTTGCAATGTATGAACTCATTCAAAAATAAACAGCTTTAAGTATAGTTAGCAACTGTTTTATTGATTCGATGGGTTGATTATGATCTAATATTGATTGAACCCAGTTGTGCTGCTTTTTTGCAGTGGCACTTTGATATGGAGAGAAATTTGTTCCAAAATTAATGAGCAAAGAGCCTTCAATTTGAAGAAACATTTTGAAATGGAACTTTGAAAAACATCTCAATTAAAAGAGGAAAAATAAAAACAATCAAAAATGTGTATGCAGAAGTCTTAACAATATTTGTTTATGTATTTTTTAATTTTTTTTATTTTTAAGTTTTCTTTTTTTGTGGGCCTTCTGACTGTAGGCTCACAGG